AACCTCCCAAGCTATCGTCCTTTGAATTTTTGGCACCTGTGATTCCGAAACTGCACGCTTTTCTGAATTTCTTTAAATGCGAAAAGCTAACTGTAACATGATAACGGCTTTTTCAATTTTTTTGTTTTATTTCAAAGATTGCATATATTACTCATCCTAAATGTATGCAATTTTTGAAATTTTTTGCACATGAATAGTTTAAATTATTTATGTAGTACATACATAGGTAGATTGTTTACAGAAGCTTCATTAGATTGTTCAATAGTTGAAAGGAAGAGTGCTATATTGCAAACCATTTGTTTGACCTAACTTTATTCATAATAACTAACGTTTGCTTCATAAATATAAAGAAAATTATGCATTTCCTTTTTTGTACATTGATTTTAAAATCTTATTTAAACTATACCCACAGTAAAAAATTTTATATGTATTAGGAAACAGTTGTCATATTTTTATATCTAATAAGTTTTGTCAAACTTATATTGGCATAAACTGTAAATATAATTTGCATTCGCAAATTCAACAGATCGTATTTGATAATTTTTCAAAACTCATAATGAGTTTCGGAAGCAAATTGCTTGAAATTAAAGTTTGATTTAAAATTTTATTAAAATTTTTATGGTATTTTCTCTGCTATACTTGTAGAATACCATAAAAATTAAAACTAGTTTTGGTAGTAATTTTATATGATTTTATTTATCATATTATTAAAATTATTAATTTTTGAAAAAAAAATATTCAAATTTTTTAAGTTTTTTATTAAAATTAAAGATATTGGCATATTTTGACATAAATACTGATGGTAAACATTATTAATCACTTCCTAAAAAGTTTTATGTGCGAGTACTTAGCATAGTTTAAAAAAAACGGTTTGAAACTAAAAACTTATTTTTAAAATAATTAAAAATAAGTTTTTAAAAAACTTAAAATATTTTTAAAATAATTAAAATTAAAAATTTACAATTTTTTAATACAAAGGTTTTCCGAAACCATATTTAAGACCTAATAATCTTGCAAATAGTCAAAAATAGCAAACAATTGTTATCGAATGGCTCAATCCATTTAACGAGATAAAATAATTTTTAAGAAACTATCAAAAAAATTATGGATAACTACGGATTCTAAACAGTAATAATTTTGCTCAGGCTGCTTATCGATCCAAGTTCAAAACTAAAACTTGAAATTTCTTCCACAAATTGGTTATTTTTCCACAATGAATTTATTTTGCATTCGTCTTAAATGGGTAACTGGGATTTTCCTAAACTAAATAGTGGAAATAACCTACTGTTTTACAACCGATTTCAATCAATTCTGTAAATGCACAAAAGTCCTGAATTGTTTCTTCTATTTAAAAAATTCATAAGCAAAGAAAAAATCTGCTTATAAAATTGATTTTTAAAATTAACCGTTATAAATATCTAACCAATTTTTGACTAATTTTTCAAGTAATTTTTCTCAAAAAAGAAAGCTCGTTATCCCTTATAAATTTAAAAATATGAATTTTCTTGGACACCACAAGCTTTATCAAGCTTTGGTGAAAACCAAAATGTCTATCAGATATACAATTCAAGCTTTACGTCGACATAAATTTGAAATATTAAATTTATTATGAATTGCGATAGTCTACACTGTTGATTTTGAAGCTCTAAATATTTGACAAATAAAGTTTAATAAGTCCAAAAGGCGATAGGTTCGGAAACGATTTGAGTTTTAAAACTAAAGATAAAAGTGGAATTTTAATGCTTTGGATTTTTTGATTGACCACGTTTTCTTTTTACTTTTCGTCAATTGTCCGGCTATATATTCGGAAACAATTAATAGATTCTGCAAGCTGAGCTATATTTATATGCACATACATATATTATATTAGTCAATAAATCTTATTCTAAAATTTAATTTAATTCTGAACAAAATTTTCCTTTTATCAAAATCAAGATTAATAACTAAAGCGCACACTATTATTTCCGCGATCTCATTTTATTGATAATTTAATCTTAAAGTACAAATCTAGTAATACTCACATATTGATTCATATATTTATCTTTATAATACTATTTACATAAATAAATACATATTATACAAAATCAAATATTCTTAACTAAACGCAAATAAATAAATGAATGAATTAAAAATTTTAAAAATTTTACAAAAACTAAACGTAAAACATGAATGCAAATTATTATTTCTAGTTATAATTTCCAATAATATTTCATAACTCCCAAACTACTTTATGATTTCATAAATATGCTGTAGGCTATAATATTCATTTTCATTTTTATATTCCAAATTATAAATATTCATAAGTTCTTAATCACAGTTCTAAAATATTTAAATTCATTTCCTAAAAATTTAATTAATTTTTCATATTACATACTAGTATTTAAACTGGTTTATTCAAAGTATATTTATTATAAAAATATTGCGGTATAAGTAAATTGAATACAAATTTTATTGTTTTTAAATGAAAAATATCGTAAATTTGAGAAAACTATTATGAGAATTACAGTTGATTGTAATGTCAGTGACCGTACATTAGAAATATTTACTGTAATATTATTAAATTAAAGCTAATTAAAATTTCAGCAGAAAAGATCTTCTTTCTAAAAACCAAAAATTAATTCAATACTTGTTTAATTCTATTTATTAATTTTATTAATTTTACTGTAAAGTAGTTGTTATAGTCAAACTCACAGTCAAACTGAAATCAAAGCACAAAGCGCCTGGGCTTATGCTTTTTTTCAGACAATTTTGTTTAAGTTTATTTTTTTAAATTCCACGTACTTCAGAAACTTAATTCAATGTTTTATCCAAATATCATTCGATTTATAGTGACTAATGTAAAAAATATTTTTAGAAATATGAAATAATTATGTAAATTCAATGACAATGATGTATAAACACATATACATACGTACTAAGTAAAAATTAATTCAGTGTGCTCTCAATTGATAATAAATAATTTGGTTAATTATAATGTGTCTTTCACCTTTAAAATCTATTTATAATAAATTGTCCATTATTTAAATACATAAAATTAAAATCCAATATTTTAAAAACGATTAATATTGCTCAAATTTCTTTCATTTTAATAATGTTATAATTGTGACATTGTACAGCTTTTAATATTTGTTATTTATGTAAAGAATTTTTGTAGGTAAATTATGATATGGGGTGCGTGCATTTTATTCTAATAAGGTTATTTGTTAAATTTGTGACACTGTTATTAATAACAATAAAAATATTTTAGGTAACCGCAAACCTTCTAAGGTTTAAAGTATTATAAATATTACATTCCAAATCATGACATATTTACGTTTTAGATGTAATTATATAGATCTTTTAGTTTAATGAACACTAACCAGTAATTATTATAATGCTTCCAAAATCATTAACTAATTTACATAAAATTATAAAAATCTAATAAACTCATCAAAATTTAGTTTAAACTTTATTATTAACATAATAAATAATTTACATATTTGGTTGTAAAAATTAAAAACTTGTTTTCTAATTATAGATTAAATTTGACTTAATGAATTTTTTTTACGTCTACATGATTTTTTTATTTTTTGTAAAACTTTAAGTTTCATACACAACTTTGAAACCATAACCTAAGTTAACCTAACCTATAAAGTATAAAACAAATGAGGTTTTCCTTAATGTCATCTCATACATACTTTGGGTTCAATAAAACTCTTTGAAGTTCAATGTCGTTGTAAACACAAACAATGTGAAAAAATTCGAACAATTTGATCAAGAGACGTTTTATGTTAATTAAAGATAATAGATATAATAAAAATTATTTTAAATTATTTCAACTGGAGCTTGAATGTAGTCAACTAAATGAATTTTATACAATTATGCTTATATAAAATGTGCAATAAAAATAAAAAATATATCTAAAACCAAATGACTTAATTACATTTAAAATGTATTCACTATATTAAATGACTAAACGAAATCACTTGTGTAGATTTAATTAATTTCCTTATAATAGACTAGTATAAAATCAATTAAAATTTTACAGACACCATTGGGTATTTATGACTTTTGTGTGCATTGAAAGTGCTTTTTATGTCTATTTTCTTGAAATTTCTTTCAAAGTAGTTGTTTATGTGAATTAATATTTTAATTGTTATAAGAGAGTCTCGGATTGTGTATCTACCTTACAAAATTCAAAATTTAAAAGATGCATGATAAATGCAAACATATGATGTGATAGTATCAAGATTAAGATAAACTCTTTGTAAGTATATGTATATATATTGTATTAAACTAACTATAATATATGTTGCCCACCAGCATTATAAAATGTTATTCTTTTGAATAATTAATTATAACATCGTTAATTAAAACGTTAAAACGTTAAGGTAAATCAATAAAAACTAAAAAATTATTATGATGCGCGTTTTATTTTTTACTAAGCGATAATTATTACCTTTTAGGCTACCATAATTAACTTATGTTTATATGTATGTATGTACGTTTGTATAATTTATCTGAGCAAATATTACAAAGATCTAGAGGTAGCAATTTGTTTCAATATTATATACTTGTATTTAATTTACAAATTAAAAAATTTATTCAAATTGTTTAATATTTTTAAATTAATTCTATTTCTTTAGTTTTATCAATTTTTTTTTTTGTTTTAATAATTTAATTCGATAAGGTCGCTTAGTTTTGTGTCGTTTCTTTTTTTCTTCTTCTTTTTAATAGGTACTAGTTCATTTTCGCAGTTAATGAATTAACCCACCGCTTAGTTAATATTCTATTAATTTTTGCGTATTACCTCAAATATTTATTTTTGAAAGTTTTAGTATAAATATTCTTGTAACTTTAACATTTGGTATCAATTCAATTTTTCAATTTCATTAAGAAAGAATAAAACTCTTTAACTTTACAACATGGTACATACATACCCTTTTTTCTAATAAAATTAAATCTTTATTAATATTTTTCAATAAAAAAATGGTGTAATTGTTTTCATTTCGTTTGTGTAGAAATTTTTGTTGTGTGCTTTAGCTTGCTTGGCCGTAGCATCCGCTGATGTTTCACATTTAAGTGGATATAATTATGAACCACCAGCTCGTCATGAAGTAGCTGCAGCTCCACCACCAGCCCCACCTCCAGCTCCAGCTCCAGAATATTTGCCACCATCAAAACCAGCTCCTGCTCCCGCTCCAGCTCCAGCTCCAGCCCCTGCTCCCGCTCCGGCTCCACATCATGCACCAGCCCCTGCCCCATCACATCACGCTCATGCCCCTGCTGCACATCATGCTCCAGCTCCACATCATGCACCAGCCCCCGCTCCAGCACATCACGCTCATGCCCCTGCTGCTCATCATGCTCCGGCACCAGCACCAGCTCCAGCACCAGCTCCAGCACCAGCGCCAGCACCTGCACCAGCCCCACAACAAGAATACTTGCCACCTCAATCAGCACCTGCTCCAGCTCCTGCACCAGCACCTGCTCCAGCACCAGCACCAGCACCTGCACCAGCCCCAGCAATCGCACATGCATCAGCACCTGCACCAGCCCCAGCTCCCGCACCTGCCCCAGAACCAGCACCAGCTCATGAGTTAGCCGATGACGGTTACCGTTATAGAGCTATTAAACGTTATAGATATAGATACAGATATTAGATTAAATTAGTCCAAACCCTTCCATTATCGGAATGACAAATAATAAGTTCTTTTTATTTGGAAACATCAAATTTATTATAGAATTTAAACGCTAATTACTGCAAAAATATAAAAAAAAAAAATAATTCCAATGTGCCAAAAATTTTATGTATATAAAATAAATATTGTGTAGATATCGTAAAAAAATGTATTATTTTTAGTTAGGAATAATAGATTATACGCGCATATGTTTAACGTAACATTTGGTAAGAAACTTGTGAATCACACCTAATGTACATAACACCGGTAATATGTACATAAAATTTTATAGTGAATTTTCATTTTAGTGTTGTTCTTATAAGACAAATTTCTTGAAGCAAGAATTTCAATAATACGATAACACGATTCCATTTGATTTTTCTTATGGGCTTATGTGAATTTTATATAGTATACTTTATCGCACATTAATTATAGAATTACCAGGATCATACACGAGTAACTTTTGCTATAATTATTCTAATGCTGCGTGATAATAAATAAAACTTTTGACATTTCTCTAATAAAAATGTTTTTCTTTCGAGTACTGTTGCTTTTATACAATAACTACATCTTACCATTGTTTTGACCAATAACCAAAACTTTTTGTTGAAAATTAAAATTGATCACTAAAAAATTATTAATTAGATATTTTAAAGCTTTTCAAAATTCAAAACTTTTTCGAACAAAATCAAAAGATAATAACAATTTTATTAAATTTTTTTTAGACTATGGGCAAACTGATTCTTTAATAGCTCACATTAAACTTATAACACTTTATTATGCTTCCAGTTATAAAAATTCTAAACGCGTAGAGACAGAAAGCATAACTTCACTTGCAAATGCATCTCAATTATTTCCCTATATCTAAAAAATTGGACCAATCAACTCAAAACATGCTTTCCAAAACTCAAATCAACCGTTACAAACCATAAAGCTAAAAGTTTCAGAAATGCAATTTTCAAAAAGCAAAATTATATTTATCTTTCTTTAAACATCTTCTTTCTGAATGTAATTTATATAGCAAAATTTGATGTGATCAGCACATAACCGACCACAATGTGTATGGTCTAGTTTAACGAAAATGTTAAAGAAGATTACGAAAATTCTTTTTAAAAATTTCTTTTCAATTTTAATAATGCTTGTAAGGTTTTCGTTAACATACCCAGAAAACCAATTACATCCGGCAGCAAACAGATATGGTAAAAAATGTGAAAAGAGCCCCTATTTCAGTTTTCGATACCCGATTTTTCCAAAAAATTTATTTGTTGCGCTCATTATTTTAATACTCCGAATTTAATAATAATATGTAAAATCAGCCCATAAGAAGGTCCAGTTCCAAAAATCTGATATATCCCAAAAGTTAATTAATCCATGGCATAGCCAAAATAAATTTACATATAATATTCCATCAAAGTCTGTTCAGCAGAACTTGAAATAAATACGTGCACAAACACATACAGCGACATCTCTTTAAAAATGGTTCATTTACGCTTTTCTACCATGGAGAAGTGCGTTCCTACCAAAAACTCGACTTCTAAAATTTGATGCCATAACACAACCTCTAACGCTATACAGTCGGTAATGAATAAATAAATAAATTTCTTGTGAACGCATATACAACAAGATGTGAAGCCCCTTACTTCATAAAAATGTGACCCTTAAACTTGTAAAGATAATTATGTTATATTTTATATGCAAACCTTAATCTAAATCGAATGTAATTCAGTATTTTTCGGCTTTAATAATTACTTCTTTTAAATCACGAAAAAATTGTTTCTATGCCACTAATTGCAATTTTATAAAATCTGCATAAGTATTTTAACAAGAGAATATAGTTGCAAGGAAGACAATTTCAAATCAATGATAATGATGAAAGAATTCTTTTTCAAATTTTAGAATTTAAAAGAGTTTCTTTAAGTATATAAAATTTTCAAACCAAATTAAAATATCGAATTTAAACTACCATTTAATAATAATGAAAACTATAACTAAACATACTAAAAATTTGTTGTTGAAATATATTATTATCCAGTATTACTGTAGTCGCTTTTCAAAAAAATTCAAGAAAATAATTTTATTATAGACTCTTGCTATTACCAAGAAACTTCTTGAAAAAAAAAATTACTGTTTAAAAATAAAAAGATGCAACTACAAAGGACATAAAATGTGAATGTCATAATCTATACTCAAGATGTTATTATGAGCTAAAGGAGAATTTACTTCTATTGTGTGTAAAATATTAAATGAAAAATTTTTGTTTAGTGACAGAAGGACATTATATAAGTAGTTATAAGAGAAATGACATGTTCATGACGTTGATTTTGAGTTTTAAGGACATTTAAGGACAAATGAATTTTTTTCATTTATTTATAATTTTTACATTTCAATAAATGAAAGGACTTTTTCAAATACATAAGTTTTTTCATTAAGATTTTTTATTATAAGTACCTAATAGATTTATATATACACATAAGTACATAAATTTCGTAAAGCAAGGACAGTAAAAAAATTATAATTTACTGCAAGGGCAGTAAATTATAAAGGGTAAAATGTTTTCATATTAAAATATATTACTTATGCTTAAAATAAAATATGTAACCGTACCTTAGTTAAATCCGGATCATCACGCATTTTATCCAAGATTGCACATTTAACACCATTATTGGCATTAAATACACAAATATAAAGTATTGTTGTTGTACAGAGCACCGATAAAAAATCCATTAATGATCTCATTTTGAAATTATTGTTTGGTTTTTTGCTTTTAATAATTTATTATTTATTTTATTAATATTATTATTTTTATATTTTAATTCTTTACGTAATTTAGTCTAAATTCACTTTCCTATTTTATAATTATTTATTTATTATTATTAAATATTTTTGTTTTGTTATTTCGAACACTTTTATTTTATGTTTTTGAAAAAAATATATTATACAAGATCACTTTAAGTAATTAATTTCTTTTCTCTTTTTTTGCTGTTAATCTTGTGTATTAAGAATTTTCATTTAAATATGTTACCTAGAAAAATAGTAATATATACTTAAGTATATAATATTTTTTGAAATGAAATTAATTGGTGGTCAGTAAAATGTTAAATGAACAAAATATTATAATATTGTATATAAACATACGAGTACTATGTAATACACACAAATATATTTTTTTATGTAGATGAATAAATTTTATATTTTTCATGTTTTTGTTTTGGGTTTTAAATTTTTTTAAGGTTGCTATAGAAACTAGATTAAAGTGTAATGCTAATTGGTGTTATGTACTGAATTGGACATAAAAACCAAACGTTTCCGTTGTTAATTATTTTATTCAATTATTTTTGATATTCCTATAACTGTTCCTATGAAAGTTTTATTCAAAATCAAATATTGGAAGTTTATGTTGAAATTAAACTTCAGATGTAAAAGAAGTAACAATTGATTTATAAATAATCAACAAAAAATTGAAAATTTCAAAATTCCTTTTTAAATTGGGGGAAAAAGTGATATGTACGAATTTCGAATATAACTAATTCACACGTCTTTATCAATTATTTTTCCAAATAAGAAATTATCAATTTTTAAGTTTTGTTTTGTGAACCTCTACTATAATTACAGCTTGGTACATGCATAAACATGTATATTTACCGTTAATTTTGAAGATTGATTGAAGCCTTTAAAAGTGTGTAAGTGTATATATGTATATACATACGTCCTTCATTTTTTTCAGAGATTATTTTAAAAAATTATTAAAAAGTTTACTTAAGTTGGAATGAAATCATCTGAAACCACGTAACTACAAATATAAAATTAGTCCCATATATGAATATGGAATATGAAAAAATAAATGCAAAGAAAAACTTATTGAACATTAATTAATAATGTTATTTATTGTATAATAATTAATAACATTACTCTCAAAAATTAAAGAAAGAAAAAATTTTGTAATTCTAGGCTTCTAATTTAAATATTTTGTAATTCTAAACTTAAATAAATATGATTATGTATTTTAGAGGAAAAAACATTACTAATTAATATTATATAACAGTTAACTTTTTGAAAAATATAAAAATTCGATAAATTATATATAACCACAAATAAATTACGATTTACTACGATTAAACGTAGTCTGCTCATCGATTACGATAGAAAACTGCTTATATTGCAATATCGTAAAAAATCAACTTAACACAAATTTCTAACAATTACTTGCATCAAAATTAACTGCTAATATACTTCAAATATAATTGTATGTTATGATTATATTCTTTAATTTTCATTTAACATTAACGCGCAACCCCCAATATATCGATCAAGCAGAAAATAAAAAAAAATAAAAAGAAACAAAACATGGCCACAGATATATGAAAGAAAAGGGTGGAAATGCAGATTTTCCGTTACATCAGATCTGAATGTAACTTTTTAAACAATTATCAGTTAATTTGTAAAAGAATTTCGAGTATTTTGTATGCATAAATTAAGTATTTCTGGGTACATTTAAATATCTAAAATATATTTGAAAAAATACATTAAATATACAAGAATTTATGAAATAATTTTTATTTAAAAAAAAATATTTAGTGCATCATTGTTTAATTTGAAAATTTTAAATTTAAAAAATCGATATTTTTGTCTTTTGCTTTTGCACTATGTTGCACAACACATAGCTTTAATAATCTATATGTGCGACATAAACTGCACCACTTCACACACGGCAATGCAAAATTAGATTTTCTATTTTAAAAATTTTTTCTTTTTCTTTTACTCTTGTGAATATTTCAAGGTTATTATAACACATAAAATATTAAAAATTTTTTGCAATATTTCTTTTGCCCCTAAATTTTATTGATCGAAAAAATTATTTTAATCTAACACAAGTATATAAGTTCAATTTAATATTTTATATTAGGTAAATAAATAGTTAACTATATTGCTGAATGTGTCATACATAAATAATTAATAGCATAATTATTATTATGAAAATATAT